ATGTTCATAATGGAACTCATGTATGTCCCAGGAATATGCATGTACATCACATGAATGTTCCAGGTATATTCTGGGAATATCATTTTGCTATGTGGGTATCGTTTTAAGTTGAACTTCTCAACTTTCCTCTTCGATACGCAAAAACTCTTTTAGACAATGTTTAATTGTAAGAAATTGAACCTTTCATGCCAAACTTACAAAGTTAATATATGTATATTTCCTAATATTTTTAAATTAACTAATAACTATTGATTATAAGATTACTGAATTTTGGAAACTATTAAATTGATACCATAAGTATTTGGTTGATCTTCAAAAAATATATGTTAATTAAAATTATTGTTCTCGGTGGCAAATTGCGTAAACGAATTTTTTATATGAGCTAATTTATCATTATGGAGGTTTATTTGTATAACATAATCAACCCGAATTTCGTCACATTTCAAATCATTTTTTTTAGATCAATTATCAAATTTCCTTTGATTTAGCAGATGCTTCATTTTCCAGTTCAAGGTTTTTAAACATTATCCGTTATTCACTTGAAAAAAGTGAGAAAGTCTATAAAAGTTTTGAATACATAAACATTTAAGCCTTATTTAAACAAACATTATTTATCCACACAATTTATTTTCTTGATTTTTTGGTAGGAAATTAACGATCAAAAGACTGAGTTTTCATGAAAAACGTAATTTAGATTTATCCCAATGGAGACTTTTACCGCTCCAAGATTGTTTCCCAAAAGTAAAAAACAAAAAAGTTCAATTACAGCCTTTTAATATATCTCGAAAAATACGTACTTAATACAATCTATTATTATATTTCTTGCCACGTGGACGCCAGACGAGCATTTGCATTTGAAGAGTCTATATAAAGATAAAAGAGTTGCTTTACTTACCTGTAAGACGAGAAAACGCTAGACAAACTGGTAGTTTCCGTTAAGAAACCCTAGGAAAAAAATCTACTATTTTATTATGAAATTGGTCAATATTTAACTAGTAGATATTTTCTTATTCAATCAACTAATCGATGAATTATTTAGTACGCTAATATTTTTGTTTCAGATTTTAAGAGCTACTTACTCCTACATCACTTTAATGGTTGGATACAACTGAGCTAACGAACTCCAAGTTAGAAGATTTTTAGGCATGTTAGCAAACTTAGAATATTGCAAGCTGTGTTAATGAAATTAGTAATACATTCACTTCAATATTAGTTGTTTTTTTCTGTATTTGATACAGTAACAACAAAAAATTTCAAAATCCTATTATAAGAGTGTCCCGTAAGCACATGATCAAAAGGGTACTGCGATATTCTTTGGACCAAAAGAAGATGATCTAAACTACCTTTTACTACAGAAAAATGTCTGGCTCCACTACTATTGATGGTCAAAAATATTGTTCTTTTTGAAATTTCGGGAGAATGGTACTATCGATTTCAATGAAATTTGCATCATCATCAGGGTCATATCAGGGCCTACATCAGGGCCATATTTTGATAAAACCCACTTTTTATTTTTGAGATTTGTTAAATAACGCAATTCGTAGGAAAATGATTCGATCAAAAGATAGCCGGACTAAAATTACAAAACGCTTGCAAATTAGTTAATTATAAGAGAACATTATCAGTTACTACGACGGTTGCAATTAATGTCTAAAATTGTAAAATAATAAGTGAAACAGATTTAGTTTGTTTCGCGAAAGCTATGAACGCTACAATTTCCTAAGATTTCACGAAGAGTCCGAAAATTTTCAAATAGCATTAATATATTAACTCAACAATAAAAAATCAGTGATTGAAGCTACCAAAGTTTTCGTAGTTTTTGTACCAACACACTAAGAATTTATCACTTGCCCAAAGCGAATGAACTCGCTTGGATCATCAAAACATGAGTCTTACACAGGGACAAGTTCACAGCAAGTTTCATTAAAATATGTCGTTCCATTAGCTGGATATTTCAAAGGTATAATTTTTTTGAAGAGCGTTGACCTTAAATAGCAGTGAAACCGGAAAATTTTTCTTAATAAAAGTTAAATTGAGATCATAGATCATGAGATTTTCATTTGAGCCAAAGAATGTCTCAGTGCCCTTTTGATCATGTGCTTACGGAACACCCTTGACACTAATTTGCTCTTCTTACAGTTTTAATTTAAGATAAGGCTTGTTGGGATCAATCGGCTTAGTTTAAGAACAATGCAATGAAGAGTGAATAATAGATAGACGAAAACTTCAGTCAACTGCGATGCGAAGGTGTTTATTAATTAGACCTAACCAACTGAACAATATATTTTTTCATAGAAACATTTTGAAGGCTTTTAACTAAAAAAACTGCAATCAGTTGTGATGCAAAGGTGTTTATTGATTAGAACTAACCAACTAAACAATCTATTTTCTTATACTTTTTTCTCAATTGTAATTCCACTGGTACAATAATTATACCTATACATAAACGTTTTTCATTCATTAATGTTTTTAACGCGAGCCATTAGGTAATATTCGCACTCTACAACCCTCTTTTAGAAGTCAATTTTCACTAGTTTGCAGAAAAGAAAATTTCAAAGTTTTTAATAAACCGTATGTGTCCATTTGATGTGTAGTAATTCCAGTGCAGGGTGTTCACATTGTGCAAAGTTTCACTTAATAATAGAGCTTATTGTTTGTTGCTTTCTTAGATCATCAGCATCATGTAAGAATATGTCGCCTTCAAAATCTGAAACAAAATGAAATTATTCATTTTTTAGCTTATCCGCTTTTTACAATTTAATGGTTCTAATCAAACTTAATCACATACCGCAATCATAGACTGAATGGACATCACTCCAAGTCCTCCAATACGCAGTGTTAGCGATTCTTGTGTTCTGAGCATGAAAATTAATATCATCTGTTTCACTTTAGGCGCTTGGTCAAGCCAGTTACTTTCATACATTGAGTAAGATAATTCTGCACTCTAAAAATACCGGAGCAGCATTTGCATTATGTTATAGAATATTGACAAAACGGCAGCATCAACTAACAACATTTAAATGACTAAACAGTTAAAATATTAGATAACTGTACCTATATTAGATGCTTTAACAATGATTTCTAAGACTTACCAAAATAATTATGTTATTGGCATGGTAATAATATAGAATCAATCTGAAAATCATACTAGCAAAGAACGAAGCCAGAGTTACTACCACCATTACGGAAAATTCTGACTAAAAACGGAAAACAAAAATGTTTTCAGTTCATTTCAGTCAATTTGGATTCTTTACGAATTGAGAATTTCAAAACAATGTGAATTTTTACATGTTTTGAAATTTTGTGTATTTTTGCATGCGTCTCATTACTATTAATAGTTATAAAGCGTATACGGAAATATGGTCAACGCATTAATATGCGGATCTTATTATTATAAGATCACAATAACCACATAAGAATACTAAATATTCACCATTGAAACTTCGGTCAGAATAGAGGCAATTTGCACGGAGCTTTGTAAAAAATCAAACACTATCACAACTTCCATTGACTCATTAAAGAGCCGCACATATCTAAAAAAATTATAAAATATAAGTGATAATATACCGGATGATTTCCTTATGTCTGCTTATGAAGTAAACCAGGGTGATTTTTGCCACTTGTTCATCATCTGCAATATTATATAAAGTCTTAACTTTTTCCTTATAATGAGCAAAATTCTTCAGCAAGTGCTGCAATTTTCTCAGTTGAACAGCCGGAAATACTATTAAATTGAACATTAAAATATCTGTACTTGTGACATATGTAGCTCCCTGTAGAACATTTAGAACTTGCCATATGTAAGCGTACTGAAATAACATCAAAACATGTAAATTTTGTTATTTTTGCGGGATCTCTTAATCATTCGTACTTACTGGGTAATGTTCTTGTTTATCAAATGGAAGCCATGAAGATATCGGTAAATATCTCATTACTGTCGTTGTGTTGCCGATTGAAACTATAATTGGGGTCATTAGCATCGGTTTCACTAAATATAACATTGACAGAACAACCAGCAAAGATCCATAATATTTTACAATTTTATCACTTCTTCGAACGATTTTAAGTTCAATTTTAATCACCTTAAATTAAAAATTTATTAGCTTACAATTTATAGCTTGAACTAATTTTTCATTATTAGAGTGCAATAATATAAAAGCAAAATAATAATAACCTCGTCATCTTCAATGGGCGAGTTACAATTTTCAGTTTCGATAATCTGTTTAATAATAACTCTAAAACTGCTATTTAACATCATAATCAGTTGCTTTGCAAGAGTGATGGTATATAAAAATGTAACCGATAAATTGGTGAAAATAGCATTTGTCATTACATCTGCATCGGTGAATAAAATCAACAATTCTAATTGTTCAGTGAATACAACTAATGTGAAATATCCCAACATTAATTTCGAAAACAGAGCGTACATGTTTTTAAATGTTTTATTATCCTGGAACATGAATTGCCAGGGAAAGGTTCCCACTAACGAAGAACATATCATAGATATTTGGATCAATCGACATTTTGGATATATCTAAAAGGGAACAATAGTTAAATAAACTTCTATAGAGATACCTACTTTCAGAATATTATTTACACAATAAAATTAGCGAGAAATTTGTAGAATTTACATACTTAATTACTTTTTAGGTTTATTAATTCGTTAATTGCTTGATCTACAACTTTACACGAAATTTTGTCATTAAATATGTTTCCACATGTGCACAAAAATTGTCAAATATTTCTTCTAAATCGACATAGAATGAACCCCAGTATTCTATTGGTGGACTAAATCAAGACTATGACACAGATGAACATTGTTAATGTATTTAAAAACCACAGCAGAAACAAATTGTTTTTTAAATAATTTCAAATCCATTTCTAAATTGAAAATAATTCATTATTAAGTACAAAAAAACGTGTTTCTTTTGATGCACAGATCAAACTAACAACGAATTAACAACTAAGTGTGTTAAACAATAAATAAATCGATCTGGAAATAATATGCAATTACTTACGGCCATGTTCCATTGGAGCTACCAGAATACTATAATGTCAGAACAACTGTATATTTTTCTCATGTGTAATTTGCATACAAAACTCTTTAATTGAGGTTCGATTTGCGTCTCTCAACAACGCATTAATTATTAGGGCGATATCCTCATAAAAATAGAAACTGTTGGAAAATCGTCTAGCATTTAAAAAAAACCCTGTGTCTACCGTGGCATATAGTTGAGCTTAAGGCGAGATTGCATCAACAATTATTTTAATCATTTGAGGAAGAAACTAGATCCCTGTGATTTTTCTAGGTAAAATTCCAATTGCACAAAATATATTGCGTGAATTTGATTTTAACCCAAACATGCTAAGTTACTTGGAATTCTTCATGGATATATATATAATAGATATGTTACCGGCAATGTACAAAATGCCAGGTACATTTTGCAGAATCGCTACTACTTTGGGCAATCTACACATTGACTACGGTATTTTAGGCAATCTGCAAATTGCCGCACGCCCTAGTCAATCTGAGTGTTAGATATGTTAAATCGTCGCATTGACTAGACAATGTGCAAGTTTATACTTGTTGCAACGAAATTTAAAATAATATTCTTTATACTTCAAAATTGCCAAATTGTCTTTCATTTAACCGAGTCTGCATTTTCCAGCTGAACGCTTTGAAACATTATCCATTATTCACTTGAATAAAATGAGGAAGTCTATTACATTTTTTGCATACAGCATTTAATCCACATTTAAACAAATATTATTGTATATACTTTCCTGACTGTGTTTCAATTCCAAATCAAATCTATTCCTGGGTTTCAGTCATTTATTGTCTCTATTTATTAATGAAAATACGTTTTGGTGTATTTTTCCACCATCATCAGTTTTTATGTGTAGCGTTGTTGCTGCTTAATCCTTGGCATGCATTTCTTAAGCAAGGCTTAAAGCAGCAACAACGCTACACATAAAAACTGATGATGGTGGAAAAATACACCGAATTATATATATTATTGTCAATTATTGACATAACTTTTTTTCTCGAATTTTTGGCAGGAAATTGGCGAATTGGAAATCAGAAGTCAGAGTTTGCATGAAAAAAAAAATTTAGATTTATTCCAAAAAAAAACTGATCGCTCCAAGATTGTTGTTCAAAAGTAAAAGACAAAAAAACTTCAAATACCGTGTGTAATTTATGTGCTACTTTTCCCATGATCTTCGTTGAAAAATTACAGCCCTTTAACATCGAGACTTAATACAATTTATTATTATGTCATGTCTTTTGCCACGTGGAAATAAATGCTCTATCAAAATTCAACACGAGTAGGTATTTGCATTTGTGTTAGTGTCTATAAGGATAAAAGCGTTGTTTTACTTACCTGGAAGACGAGAAAACGTTAGTCAAACTTGTAGTTTCGGTTCCGACACCCTAGGACAAAAATCTTAAATTTGTATTATAAAATTTTTAGTAAATATTTAACTAGTATTTTCTTTTCCAATCAACTAAGCGATTAATTATTTAGTACACTAATAATATTGTTTCAGATTTCCTACTTACTCTTACATCTTTTCAACGATTGGGTACAATTAAGCTAGGAAAACTCAAGTTAGAAGGGTTTTAAGCATGTTCGCAAATTTCGAATATTGCACATTGTTTTAATTAAATTAGTAAAACGTTCGAAGCAATATTAGTCTTTCATGTATTTTATACATCCGAGATATTGCAACCAGACCATTCTCGACCCTAATTCGCTCTTTTTACGGTTTAGTTTTGGATAACGCTTGTTGAGGTGAATCGGATTAGTTTCTGAACAATTTAGTAAACAGGGAAAATAGATATTATAAATTTGAGGGTTTTTGACTAAGACAACTTCATTCAACTGAGATGCGAAGGTGTTTATTGATTAGACTTAACCAACTGAACAATATCTTTTTTCATGCAGTACAATAATTACATACATTAAATCGTTAGCTTGCACCAAACATTTTGTAACTCGAAAAAAGTATTACATTTATACTCTAAAAACCTCTATTGGCTTTGAGAAATCAACTTTCACAAGTTTGCAGTGCACAAAATTGCAGAGTTTTTAATCAACCAGATGTTTCCCTTTTATGTAAAGTAATTCAAGTGCAAGGTGTTCAAAGTGTGCAAAGTTTGACTTGAATAATAGAGCTTATTGTTGGTTGCCTTTTTAGATCATCAGCATCACGTAAGAATAAGTGGCCTTCAAAATCTGGAACAAAATGAAATTGAAATTCATTTTTACTATATAAGTAAAACCTAATAACATACCGCAATAAGTGACTCAATGGACATCACCGCGAAGCCTCCAATACGCAGTGTTAGCGGTTCTTGTGTTCTGAGCATAAAAATTAATATCATTTGTTTCACTTTAGGCGTTTGGTCAAACCAGTTACTTTCATATATTGAGTAGGACAATTCTGCACTCTGAAAATACCGGAGGAACATTTCCGTTATGTTATAGAATACAATTGGCAAACGGCAGCATGAGCTAAATACGTTTGAATGACTGAACAGTTAAAACATTAAATAATAATAATATTTTATATTAGAAGCTTTAACAATATGTTTTCTAAAACTTACCAAAATAATTACGTTATTGGCATGGTAGTAATATAGACTCAATCTGAAAAGCATACTTCCCAAGAACGAAGCCACGGTTAGTACGACCATTAAAGAAATTTCGGACTAAAAATAGAAAACACAATTTTTCCAGTTCATTTCAGTCAATTTGAATTATTTGGAATTGAATTTTTTTTAAATATTTACATGTATTTACATGCGTCTGATCGCTGTTAATTGTTAAAAAGTGCATACGGAAATATGTACAACACATAATAATAAAACTACAATAATCGCGTAAGAATACTAAATATTCACCATTAAAACTTCGGGCAGAACGGAGGCAATATGCAAGGAGCTTTGCAAAAAATCAAAAACCATCACAATTTCCATTGACTCATTAAATAGCCGCACATATCTAAAAAAATTGTATCTAAGTATGACAATATTTCATTCATTATATATAAATCATAATATACTCGATAATTTCCTTATGTCTGCGTATGAAGTAAATCAAAGTGATTTTTGCCGCTTGTTCATCATCTACAATATTATATAAAGTCATAAATCTTTCCTTGTAATGGACAAAATTTTTCAGTAGGTGCTTCAATTTTCTCAGTTGAACAGCAGTAAATACTATTAAATTGAACATTAAAATATCTGTTGTTGTGACATACATAGTTCCTTGTAAAAGGCTTAGAGTTTGCCACATGTAAGCGTACTGAAATAACATAGAAATATATAACTTTGTTATTTTTGTGGATCTCTTAATCATCGATATTTACTGGGTAATGTTTTTGTTCATCAAATGGAAACCATGAAGATAGTGGAAAAAATCCGATTGCCTTCGTCGTGTTGCCACTTGAAACTATATTTGGAGTCATTAGAATCGGTTTAACGCAATATAATGTTCCCAAAACAAACATCATCAATCCGTAATATTTTACAAGTTTATTGCTTCTTTGGACGATTCTAAGTTCAATTTCAAATACCTTAAATACAAAAAAATATTAGCTTAGAATTTATAGCGTGAACTAATTTTTCATTATTAAAGTTAAATAATATAAAAATAAAATCATAATAATAACCTCGTCATCTTCAATGGGAGATTTGCACTTTTCAGTGTCGATAATTTGCTTAATAGTAGCTCTGAAACTACTATTTAACATCATAATCAGTTGCTTTGCAAGTGTGATGGTGTATATAGGTGTAACGGATATATTGGCGAAAATAGCATTTCTCATTACTTCTTCATCGGTTATTAAAATCAACAGTTCTAACTGTTGAGAGAATACAAATAACGTGAAATATCCCAACATTAATTTCGAATACATAGCGTACATGTTTTTAAGTATTTTGTTATCTTGGAACATGAATTGCCAGGGGAATGTTCCCACTAACGAAGAACTTATCATAGATATTTGGATCAGCCGACATTTTGGATATATCTAAAAGAGAACAATTGTTAAATGGACTTCTATAGGAGATACTTACTTTTAGAATACACAAGAAAATTAGCCAGAAATTTGAAGAATTTATATACTTAAATACTTTTTAGGTGTATTAATTCGTTAATTGCTTGCTCTACATCTTTACATTAAATTTTGCATTAAATATTTTTTCACATATATGTAGAACACTAGAATCGTCAAATTTTTTCAAATCAACATACGATGAGCCACAGTAGACCAAATCTCACCAAAAATACCCTGCGGCTTCGCTAGAATTTATTTAACTTTTGCCACATATGAACATTTATTATTTAGTTAATTTATTATTAGATTTAGAAAGAATTTTAAGTCGACTTTTAAACTGCAAATAATTAGTTGTTAAGTTCAGAAAAAAAAAATTTTATGAAGAGATCCAACCAACATTTTAATTTTTGACTTTTTCCTCAATCAAACCAACAACAAAGGGTCTTAAGCAATGAAGACAATCTGGACATGATGTGCAATTACTTACCGCCATGTTCGATTAGAGCCACCAGAATACTATAATGTTTCCACCATTATGGAGAAAAAGTGTATAATTTTTCCATGTGCAATTTGCATACAAAACTATTTAATTGAGGTTTGATTTGCGACATTCAACAACACATTAATAATTAGGGCGATATCCTTACACAAAAATGGAAACTGTTGGAAAATAGTCTAGCTTTCAATAAAAAAATTACTTAACCTGTCCTTGGCCTATGGTTAGAGATTTTATAAACAATTATTTTAATCATTTGAGTAAGAAGGTAAATAGTAAATTGCACCAAATGTATTTGAAACATATGACTTTTTATTTGATTTGATCTAAACATTCTGTTACTTGGAATTTTTATGCAATGCATATAGATAATACACATAGATCTGATGAATGAACTTAATCTCTTGAAAATTAAATAGGTGAATAATTTTAATTCAGTTTCAAAGCGAAATTTAGATTTAATCTACTCCTAAGAAATTTGCACTGCCGAGACTTTTGGTCGTTTTGACAGCATTTTGAACATTTTGGTCAAGTATGGATATACCAAAGCCACGCAAATAAAGGCAACTATAAAGAAAACGTGTAAGTTAAAATTCGTTTTAATAACTTTAAGTTAATAAATGATAAGACTACAAAAAATATGTCACTTTACATATTCACTACTTTTTAAACTAAACATTATCTGTGTAACTTTATAATCAACCCGAATTTTTTTCATTTTAAAATAATTTTCGTTAGATTTCAAAATTACCAAGTTTTGAGTACCAAAATTTAAGATAAGGCTTATTGGGATTAGTTTATGAAAAATTCATGGAACAGTGAAAAATAGATATTATAAATTTGAAGATTTTTTACTAAGAAAACTTCAGTCAACTCCGATGCGAAGATGTTTATTGATTAGAACTAACCAGCTGAACAATATCTTTTTTCATACATTCTTCCTCAATTGTAATTGCACTGGTACAATAATTACTTTCATTAATTCGTTTGATTGCACCAAAATGTTTTTAACTCGAAAAAATTCAATTCAAATAAAATTGCAGATGTTTCCATTTTATGTGGATTAATTCAAGTGCAAAATGTTCAAAGTGTGCAAGGTTTCACTTATTAATAGAGCTTATTGTTTGTTGCTTTCTTAGATCATCAGCATCACGTAAGAATAAGTGGCCTTCAAAATCTGGAACGAAATTAAATTGTCCTTGCCTACCCGCTTTTCACAATGTTATCATTTTAATCAATCAAGGAAGGAATTTGTAGAATTAGCTGTCCAGTATGATTGGTCTAAGCCTTTGAAGCTACTGAAAAATGGAATGGTCGGAGAAATAGGGAACGCCACATCACACGGCTGCGGAATTAGGATTTTTGAGCTGCAAAAGTAAGCAACAATATCCTCAAGTACATAGATTTGTTTGACGTTAATTATTACGAGAAGCAATATTAAAATATCTTTATTATTTCCTTTGAACTGTGCAAATTAGGTCTTTCTGGAGTTACATTTTAGTATAATGTTTTGCTGCTTGCAAAACTGTTTGGAACCTTTAAAGTGTGATATTGAATGGTGGAATTGCTGAAAAAGTCTTGTGTCAACGGCGATTTCAGTAACGAAATGCTCTTGGGCAGCATTTCGTTAAAATTCACCTCAATAATCTCCATATTATTGTGCTTACTTGTTGGATGACAATTTTTCCAACAATTTAATCGTTTCCAGCAGCTGTCTCCCAATAAAGTTCATTTTAGCGATTGGATGGAAAACCGATCAATTTCTTATAATTTGACCAATTGATTAATCAGTAAGTGTATATATGTTCCACGTCACAAGTGGGAATTATTTGTATAGTTTAAAACAAAATTGTTCAAACGAAGGTAACAAACACTCGATTACCAAACCGCAGGGTGTTTCAAGCGTTAAGAGTTTTATGGCTTATTTGTTACTGTGCATTTTTAGATGTTTACTTAATAGTTATTTAATAATTGATCACGCTAAATTTTCTAGAAATATTCTCAGTTTTTCTGAGGTCAAAGTATCTTTCTTTTGCAGCGATCTCCTGATCATTTCTCCACAGAAAATTAAAATGGTGTTCAAATCAGAATTATTTTAGTATAGTATTTTTTGTATTTGCAACCGTTTTTAAATACAATATGATGAATCCCCTGGTTTCCGTATTAATAATCAGAATCAACATATGCACTTTCTATACTTATTGTTTAAAATTTAAAAAAAACATCAGGTTCTTATTTGTACCGACGTTTTCAAGATTACTGCTCTATTGAATACATCTGATACTTCAAAATTTCATTCACACAAATTTTTTAAATATAAAATTATTTTCATTTATTCTTTGTTCAGGATACAGCTTCCTGCACAAGTAGATAATATATCTTCTATCAAAGACACTTCCGTTGCATTGTAAAGTTGTGAAGATCAATTTATCATCAACTATAACTTGACGAGAAACTAGATCAGTAATTGTATATATGTTTCATGTCACAAGTGAGAATTATTTTCATAGCTTAAAACAAAATCTTTCAAACGCTCGATTACCAAACCGCAGGGTGTTTCAAGCGTTAAGAGTTTTATGGCTTATTTGTTACTGTGCGTTTTTAGATGTTTACTTAATAGTTATTTAATAATTGATCACGCTAAATGTTCTACAAATGTTCTCAGTTTTTCTGAGGTGAAAGTCT